CTTTGGCATTAATTTTTTTTTTTGAAAGAAAGGCCCTTGCCCTGGTTTGGCTCAGTGGATAGAGCGTCGGCCTGCGGACTGAAGGGTCCCAGGTTCAATTCCGGCCAAGGTGCCTGGCGATGAGCAAAACTGGCAAAGCAAGGACCTTGCCCCCCAGGGTAATCTTTCCTCCCGTGGCATGTCGCTGGTCAGGCAGCTCGACCCCTTGACCTTTCATATGGCTAGTTGGATGCCCCCTGACCTTCTCCCACCCTGGAATGTCGCTGGTCAGGCAGTTTGACCCCTTGCCCTTTCATATGGCTAGTTGGGATGTCCGCTGACCTTTCCTCCCCTGGCATGTCAGTAGGCCTGGGGTAGAACCCCTTGGAGGGGGAACAAGGGTCCCCCCCACCATTCCCTTAGGCACTAACCCTTAGGGCTAACATCTAGGCCAGCGGTTCTCAATCTGTGGGTCGCGACCCCTTTGGCGGTCGAACGACCCTTTCACAGGGGTTGCCTAAGACCATCCTGCATATCAGATATTTACATGACGATTCATCACAGTAGCAACATGACAGTGATGAAGTTGCCACGAAAATAATTTTATGGTGGGGTCACAACACGAGGAACTGTATTTAAAGGGCCGGAAGGTTGAGAACCACTGATGTAGGCCTCAGTAGCGTTTCAGCTCCAGGCCCAGAAAAGCAGCCAAACCAGACAAGCGATGCCATGGCTGGCCTCCGGACCAGCTGCACTGAATAATGACCCACCAATAAGAGACCGGGACCCTGAAAGGACGCACCTGGAAACACAGCCGCATCTTCTACTTCGATGCTCCCCCTGGGACCGCCTCCTTGAAAGCACTGAGGACAGAGGACCTGACATGGTCTCCCCCAGACGGGACACCTGTACCCTTCTCCGCTCACTTCTTCCACTTCTGTGACTTTCTAAATAAACCCGAGTCTTGGCTCTGAATTCTTTCTTTCTTAAACGTATTTTTATTGACTTCAGAGAGGAAGAGAGAGGGAGCGAGAAACATCAATGATGACAATCATTGATCGCCTGCCTCCTGCACGCCCCCTACTGGGGATCGAGCCCACAACCCGCGCATGTGCCCTGACCCGGAATTGAACCGTGACCTCCTGGTTCACAGGTCGATGCTCAACCACTGAGCCACACCAGCCGGGCTGAATTTTTCTTAGCAGAACTCAAGTACCTACTGAGTTTGCTGAGCCGGGGTCAGGTCCGACTCGGAGGGTGTAACACCTGGTGCGGGTCTGGGGCGCCCACTCTTGGACTTGGCCGGTTCCGGGGCCCTGCCTAGTGTATGGTGTAGGCTGCCCAGTCTGGTGAACCCCGAGGGCACGGCGTCCTAAGTCTGAGCTCCCGACCCCTCTCACCTTGGACCGCTCGGTGGTGTCCACCCAGTACAAGGTGACCTTCCGGGTGACCATGACTTCCTGGACCCTCCTGGGCAGCAACTTCTCCATCACCTGCTTCGGGGTGGGCGGCGGGCCCTGGGCCTGGGCCTCGCAGCCGGACACGAACTGCACCAGCTCCCTCTGCGGGCGCGGGCAGGGGCCCAG